ATATATATATAATTGGGGTCGGGTCGGGTCGGGGCGGGGACTTCAATCCCCATTCCCAACCCCGACCCCGACCTCGACCTCGACCGGGGATTCCTATTAATCCCTGTCCTCACCCCCCCGCCAAAATAATCCCCATCCCTAGCCCCATTGAGTCGGAGAAGTCGGGTCCCCATCAAGGATGGGGAAAATTGCCATCCCTAAAAGTGTGTTCTAATAAATGACTCTAATAGAAACACATAAAAGTATACAATTGTTTTATATTTTCAACTTTTTAAATAACTAATAATTATTAATATTTTATATACTACTTTTAATAAATTTTTTATAATACAAAAATAACAATAATTAATTTCAGTTAGGTTTATTTATCAAACTGATGAAACCGACCAACCCGATTAACTCGACCCGAATTGGTTGGTTTTCTAATATTTTAGGTTGGCTTTCGTTCAAAAACTTCCCAATTCGACCAAGTTGGATTAGTTTCACTTTGGCCATTTGTACACCAACCAAAATCGAACGACCTAACTATGGAAATATATTAATATTTTATATTTTAAATATAATATTTAATATGGAAAAGTGGGAATTTTCCCATATTTCTTAATCTAAAATGTTTTATATCATAAATCTAATTTTTAAATTTATTTTTTAATAATTGCACTATAATTTTTAAAATTAAATTAAATTTTTAAGTTTAAATCTTTTGAACAGATTGACCAAACCAAAAAATTGAGTTTTCACAAAAGGTTAGTCGATTTCAGCTGACCAACTCCCTAACCTGACCAAGTCAATTTGGTTGGCCAAATAGCCTACGACCAAACCGAACCAACTCATGAACACTCATTATTTCAGCTAAATTAATAGTCTTATCTCTAATAAATAACAATAGTTTAATCACCGATAATTATTGAAAAATTATAGCAAAAATACACAAATATTGAAAATATATGGATAATGAAAAATACAATAATTACAGAAATTACAAACATAGAATAAGTACTAAAAATATATTAACATAGTCAATAAATAGAATAATCTCAAATAATAGTTTAATCTCTAATAAATATTAATCAATAACTTATAACAAAAATACAAAAAATACAATATGCACAATAAATTAAATTTAAAATTTCAATAATAGTAATCTAATCTCCAATAATTATTGAAAGTTTTCAGTTAAATAACAAAACGAAATAAATTTATACATAACCATTGAAAATACATTTATCACAAAAGACAATAAATATTAATTTTAGTATATATAATTATATAATAAATACAGATTAAGAGTTTAAAATTATTATTAATAAATATTAATTTTTTGAAATTTATTTTCTCAAATTATTACTTGATATAA